ATCGGGATGGGAGTGTCGGAGACAGTGCGATTGGCACAGGACAGAGCAGAGTTTAGGGCTGTTGTACATAGGGTCGCTATGAGTCGCAAGCGACTCAACAGCACATAACAACAACAACTCTGTAGCACACAAAGTAACCCTGAAAATGAATCAACTATAAAATAACTGGTTTTTATACGTTCTTACATTTTAAATAACCTTAAGAAGGGTAATATTAGTCATAATACAGTTTATTGTTTCTATGTAGGTGATTTTGGTGCCAAGTTTAAATATGACTAGAGTGTTTAATTATACTTGTTAGTAAATTATCAATATAAAAACAAAAACCACCTAGGAAAGCAATGCATTTTAGTAGCTTTATTGAAATTTATATTCCTTAAAACATAATAGTAGTTTGTTAGGTTAGCTCTGAAAATCCAAATTAACACTGATGTATTTAAAATCTTGAAATGTATTAGTTGGTTGTGAAAACTGAAAAGTTACCTACAAAACACAGTTTACAAAAGTTAAATATAAGATATACTGTGGTTCTTTGGCTTATTTTTCAATGTGTTCTTAAGCATAATAGTCTTAACATGGTACCAAAGGTAAATATTAATTGATTACAACCATTCTTGATAGACTCAGGCTACACGATGCACTGAATAACTGTTTACAATGCTTTAACTTTGTAAATCTCTTTATGATAATTGACTTACATGGAAAAATCCAAAACACTACCTCAGTTACCTCATAATAATTAAGGTGGTCATGCAGTAGTTCATCAGCAGATGCACAGAAGAAAAATGTGGCAATCTGTTTGTTAAAGATTAGCTTTGGAAATTAGTATGGGCCTGTTCCACTGTCATACAGGGTCCCACAAGGTGGAATTAACTTGACAACAGTGGGTTTTGGCTTACTTAAGATTCTGTTTTGGCACAGAAAGTATTTTATGAAAGTATACTGTGTTTCTTTTAAATGAAATTCTAAATTAGAAGAAAGACAGTCTTATAAAACAGTTCTTAGGACTTCTGGAGTGTTAAATCTCGCCTGAACTTGCTTTAATGGGGTAAAGCAAGTTTTCTGAGTGGTAATTTATGCTGAGTTACTATTACAAGAGAAACTAAGTATCTCAATAGAGATTGAGGCAGTAGATTTTGTATAAAAAAACTCCTTTATCATGGATACAAATACCTCGTATTTCCTAGAAAAATCAAGATAATGAGTATGTCAAATTTACCATGTCTATATTTTTATTTTCTATAAAATGTCCTCATGTAATTGCAATTGTATTCAGCTCATGTCACTGTAATTCAGTTGTCACTGAAGTACATTATCTATCTGCATTGTTGACCCATTTATACTATCTGCAATAATAATTATCCTTGTCTTAAAAGTAAATTTATAAAATGTTAGTTTTAATTAAAACATCACAGTAAGCACACTTAAGAGGAGTTAAGTGTTTCCATTTCCACACCACCTAAATTAATTGATCCAATACAGAAATTTAATTCAACACTAGAAATGAAGATTCACAGTTTACCTTCCCAGGCTTATTTTTAGAGTTTCACAGTTATAATCTTAGCTTTGATTTGTATGTGTCACAGATGAATTCAAATCTAAATATTGTTCTGCTCTAACATAATGTTAAGTAGGCAATTTTCCCAAGTCTGAGAACTTTAGTGCTAATATAGTTGTGATGTTTTGAGGCTTAGTTGCTTGAATCCATTGTAACACTAAGCATGAACTCTATAGCTCAGGGTTGTAGAGAAAAGCATTTTGTTATTGTAATAATCCAATTAAGGAACTGTTTCAGGAATTGTTGGAAGGTGGGTTATCCTGTAGTAACTATGCTTCAGTTGTCTTGTAGTTTGTCCAGAAACAATCCATTTCAACTTCTGAACATTTGGTTTGGAACATTTGTTTGATGAATATTCAGTTAAACATTTGGACACAAGCTCTTGCCAGAAGGTCAGATCTCTGCTGTTTATCTGTATAGAGATGTTTACAAGTTATTACTCAATAGCATGCAATCTAATTAACTTCTGTCTTTAAAAAAAGAAAAATAATTTGAGCCAAATACAACCAGAAATATACAATCTAAAGACGATAAAATTGATGCATGGGACCTTCTTTTTTTTAAAAATGTATTGTTAATTTCAATGAAAATTTACAGAGACTTTGGATTTCCATTCATTCATTGTTGCACTTTTCTCCCCTCCCAACCCCCCCCCCCCCAGTACACTACCCTCTTGGAAATGTAAAAGAAAAATTGTTTCATTGTTTTACAATCCCTCACCCCAAGTCCACTCTACCATGTAGCCTTTGCTCTGGACTCTTATGACAAAAATACCTAATCACATATCCCTTTTAAACCGTTTTCTCCCTCATCTGTTCTAATGCAATATACACTATTGAACCCATCTTTCTCAGTCTCTCCCCAACTCCGGGGTTAGTCCTGTTTTACAACAGTGGCACCATGAAGTATTTGTCCTTTTGTGAATGAGATACTTCACTCAGCATAATGTCCTCCAGGGTCACCCATTTTTAATAATATTGCATGAGTTCCTTGTTTTTCAATGCAGCATAGTATTCCATTGTGTGAATATAACACAGCATCTCTAGCCATTTGTTTGTTGATGGGCACTTAGGTTGTTTCCAACTCCTTGCTATTGTGAACAAAGCTGCGATAACATGGGTGTGCATATATCTGCTTGGGTGGCAGTTATGGTCTCTTTTGGGGTATATTCCAAGTAGTGGAATTGCTGGGTTAAATGATACCTCTATTTCCAACTTTTTGAGAAAGTGCCATCCTGCCTTTCACAGTGGTTGCACCATTTTACACTTCCACCAACAGTGAATAAGGGTTCCAGTTTGTTTCTCCACAACCTTGCCAGCATTTGTTGCTTGCTGTTCTGTTAAATTTTGTGATTCTTACTGGGGTGAGATGGTACCTCATCGTTGTTTTGAGCATGGGACCTTCTAAAGATGAAATCTCAGTGCACAACAAAAACTTTTTCCAACAGGGTGAAAAGAAAACCTACAGACTGGGAACAAACATTTGGGAATACCATTTCAGACAAGAGTCTTATAACAGAAGTTTATAGAATACTTCTGGGCCTCCACAAGAAAAAGACTGATAACCCAATTACAAAATGGGCAAAAGACATGGAAAGAATTTTTACAGAGGAAGATATTCAAATGGCAAACAGATTCATGATGAAATGCTCCAAATCACTGGCAATAAGAGAGATGCAAATCAAAACCACAATGAGGTACCATTCTCATTCCAGTAACAGTGGCAAAGTTTAACAGGGCAGCAAGTAATAGATGTTGGAGAGGATGTGGCAAGATGGGAACTCTTATACATTGTTGGTGGGATTGTAAAACGGTGCAACCATTCTGGAAGGCAGTTTGCTGCTTCCTCAAAAAGCTGAACAAAGAAATATCACATGACCCAGTTATTCCAGTACTTGGAATATACCCTGAGAATATGAGAACTGAGGCACAAACTGAGATTTGTACATTAATGTTCATAAAAGCATTATTCACCATCACAAGAACATGGAAACAGCCCAAATGTCCAACCACAAACGAATGGATCGAGAAATTATGGTACATTCACACAATGGAATACTATGCAGCACGCAAGAGCAATAACTTTGTAAACTATTACCTAACTTGGGAGGGACCGGAAAGCATTATGCTGAGTGAACTAACTCAGTCCCACAAGGATAAATATTGTATAAAAGCATTATTGTAGAATGAGTGTAAGGATCCAGGAAGGATGGGAGAGGCTGGAAGCAGAGGCATGTGGATGTTCAGGGGGAGGGGAGGATCAATCACTGCATTGTACAATTTGGTGGGTGGGGCAATGAGGGAAACGGAAAGAATTTGTTAGAATTTGTATTTGAATTGTGTAAATAAACTGTTGTTTGATGCTATCGAGTCGTACATAGAGTTTCCAGAGGCAAGCCATTTCGGAAGTGGATGGCGCTCCTGCTTCCAGGGTAAATAAAGTAGTAGAAAAAAATAATTTGACATTAACGACTTAAGTTTCAAATAAACACATGACTTCTCATTTTCTTTCAGGAGATAGTAGGACATGTAGTTAGTTTCTTGACTCTATGACATATAAAAACAAGAACATACTATGACAGGTTTGGAAGCAGGAGTGCCTCCGGAAACTTTATCAACATTGATAAATATCAATAGTTGTAGAGGGACTTTAGGCATTTTGTTCATAGGGTCTCTATGCGTCGTGCTCAACTTGAAGGCAATCAACAACAGGTGTTAACTGGATTTAGTTGATGACCTTGTCATACCTTGGAATGTTTCTGAAGACATTCTATTCCTTCTGCTAATTGTACACACTTCTGCGCTTGAATCTCCAATGCAATGATAGATAATGCCAATACAGAAGGCTAAAAGAGATAAATTTTTAGACAAATGTCAAATATAAAAATAGGTATGTATAAATAGGTTTGCTCTTTATAAAATATTTACCTTTGCTTTAGAAAATATGATCCTGCAGTGGCATGCCTTAAGCTGAGCTTCTAATCTTTCAAAATTAAGGTTGTTTCTCCTTTAAAAAGAAAATAAAGTTTGTTTATTTAATAAGGATAATTTTATAGCTATTCAAGAAGAAAAATTTATTAGAAATAAGTAATTTAAAATTGAAGAATATACACTTATCAGAGGTAAATAATATGTGAAAGACTTCTTTCTTCAGACATTTAATCTGTGATTTCAATGGCTTTCCTAGTCATTGACTGACTTTGCCACCCCATCATTCAAATATGGTTTGTAAATCTATCGACAAGGGGACGGGCTGATCTTGACATAAAATTGAACTGATTCAGCAACAGAATTTGGGAATCTTAATACCACCAAGGAAGAGGAAGCAGCACACATCCTGCACCAGCCAGACTGGGATATACACAAGCAATAGCAGCTTCAGCAAAGAAGCAGAGACCAACAGGAGACAGAACGGACTTGGGACTGCTGCATCACACAACCAGAGCAGAGACTTTTGTTCAAGGTTGCTGGAGAACTGAGGGAAGACTTAACTGGCAGGACAACTTTGTAACACTGACCTACGGGATGAGGCTAAAAGTTAAAGGGCCTGAAACCAGGCTTAAGAAGCTATCTGGACTGAGGGACTGTATCCTGCTGCCAAAGAAAATTACAGTCTGTTACCTAATAAACCCCGTAACCATGAGTATAGTTTAAGAAAACTATGTTATTTCCATTATTAGCAAGCTGTTCAATCTTCTTGGTGGAGTAAAGAACAGTATTCATAATCACATGGGGAGTTTACATACACTTGACTAGAAGGGAAGGCTATGTAAAAGTTATTTATCACACCACAGAGCCACAATGGTTATTTCCTTATTTAGGATTTCTATCACATATTTGATTTAATCAGGGGATTCATATCATTCAGTTCTCTGAAAATACTGTTCTGTTATCCAGACTCTTGCTCAAAATCAAGATCACATACCTTTCAAATGGCAAATTCTCCTGAATGAGAGCATAATAGAGCTGCAGAAACTGAAAGGCAGTAGTAGCTTTCACTTTCCAACACACCTTCTCTAATACAATCTTTTCCATTCTCATCAAGTCTGAAACTGTGAATCTGTACTGGCTTATTCGGATCAAATCATTTGCCAATGGGACATTCCTCTCTTCTTCTATTGATTTCACAGCCAAATAAAAGCAACTCAGTCCAACACAACCTAGATGCTTGGGCTGTACCTAAAAAAACAAAAAACAAAAACAAAAACAAAAAAACCAACCAAAAAAGACAAAAAAATAAACATTGTCATCATTCTTACCTTAAATTAAGGAAAAAACACCCATTAGACATAATCCATCATTAGGAAAATGTATTTTTGAGGTTGTTATTGTTAAGTGCTTTCGAGTTGTAGACAACTCATGGTGACCCTATGAACGAAAGACCTAAACACTTGTATAACAGAGTTTCTGGAGGCAGGTTATTTTGTAAATGGATGCCACTCCTGCTTCCAAGCCTGTTTTAATCGGGGAGCTCCACCAAACACTGTCCACCATGGGTAACTATTATCAGATTTGACACATCAGTGTCACAGTGTTCAGCATCACAGCAACCACGAGTTACCTCTGTACAGCAAATGGCTAGACCAGTGTATGTCTTAAGTAGGAAGAACTTAACATCTGTTCACACTTCAATCTGTCAGCTCTGTGTACCAATTTTGGAACTAATTTTTGCATTAAGTGAATTTAAGTTTCAACATGCTTGGCTTCCACACAAAATATTTCTTACTGTTTCATGTCAATGTAGAACTATAATTTGATGAGATTAACTGGTCAAAAGAGAAGCTCTGGCAGCCTAATTGGTAAGGAGTTGTGCTATCAACCTAAAAGCATGCAGTTTGAATCCACCAGTTATTCCTTGGAAGATAAATGGGCAATTTTCTACCATGTGATTTACAGCCTCTGAAAAACCTTGTGAGTTAACTATGAGTTGGCAATGAGAGGGTGTGACTGGTCAATAGGATTAGGGTAGGAACTAAACACATTAATAAAGTTTTTAGGATATGTCTTTGCTAGGCTGTTGGCTTTATAATAATGTACGTAAAACAGTTTTTAAAGTAAAATAACAATTTATTCAGCCTGTAAGACCCCATCCATTGCCACCCTATTTTTCATATATTATTTTCTAAATGTCTAAAATATGCCAATCAAAACCTCAATGCCATTGAAGTTTAAGAGACTCATAACTGACCCTCTAATAGTATTTCAGGAGGCTGTATATCACATGGGAGAATATTACCCATTTTTCTCCTGAGGTGGTTTTGAACTGGTTTGCCAGGGCAAATTCCCTGTAGATTATACAGTAGTGAAAATATGTGAAGCTGGGTCAAAATTCTAGCCAGTCTTAAATTCAGCTCAAAGAAAACGTGATGCCTTTTTATCAATCTGTACTCTCTTCTTGGAACCCCTAGAGCAATATATTGATACCTCTTTAGATGTATGTTTCTTATTGTGCCCATCTTATTTCCATGTAGTTCATAAATCTTGTGGCCATCAAGTCTATTCCAACTCATAGCAACCCTATAGGACAGGGCAGAACTGTTTCTTATAGGAATGTCTGGCGGATTAAACACACTATCATTCATCAGCCAAGCCTGTTCTGTCATTGTTCACACACTGTTGATGTGTGCAATTGAATTGGAAATGACCCATAGCTAACCCTCCCAGCTGGTTTTCAGAGACAGTAAACCACATTGGAGGAGACTACCCATCCTTCTCCAGGGGAGCAGCTGGTGGATTTGAACATGTTTTTGGGATTGCAGCAGTTTCTTACCACTAAAGCTCAGTGCTGTGTCATTAGAGCTCCTTATTTCCATGCTATGTTCCATAGAGTTGGAACCTACTCATAACTGACCTTCAAGAAGGTATTCAGAAGCTTTGAACTGCATAGACAGAACCTGCCCATCTTTCTCTGGAGGGGCAGCTGGTAGATCCAAACTGTGTACCTCTGAGTTGACAGTGCAACTCCTTACCCCCAGGCCAGCAGAACTCCCTGTTCCCATATAGGAATGTAATATACTTCAGGAGTAGTCAAATATTATTATCTGTGTAAATGAAGAGATAAAAGTGCACTGTCTTCCCATAGTGTCTGTCTAAAGAATTTTTATAACTAATTAATAAATACTCTGTTCTTTTTATAATTCACTATATTAGGTAAGACTGAAATACTTAATACTTTATAGATTATTGTTCTTAAGTGCTACTGAGATAACTACAACTCATAGCAACTCTATAAGCAATAGACCTGAACCATGCCCACTTTACATACAGTGATTAAGAAATACCTCTAAATCCTTAACCATAAATCAGCATTGTGCCTCAACAAATTTCCTTGAATCTAAAAAAGAAATGAAAATACCAAACCTATCCACAAATGTTTTTAAAACAACAGCCATCTCTCCTACTGGAAAACGAACTGTATATATTAGACTTCTTTTAAATCTCAAAATCTAACAAATTATGTTAAGACCTCTGATTTTTGAAGGAAGAATATTCATCAATGCTGTAGTGCACAAAAATATTATAGTGTGTCAGCTACATGCTGAAAAGGAAGATGGTCAAGTTTGTGAATAATAGCAAAAAACTAACAACACACGGTTAATGCACACTGAGCAAAAAACATTTAGGGTAATGTTGCTTTAACATACCTTCATTTTAGACAGAAATCTGTCCAATAAATTCACAGCTAGAGAAAATGTTTCAGTGTCAAATCCAAAGAATTGAGTTAGACTAAGAAGATCTTTCACTTCAAAATCCCTTAGCCTTGCAGTCATTCGGAGGCCATTATCGTGAGCCGACTCAATTAGTCTCAAGCCGAAGACCTTTGGCTGACATCTAGACTCCTGTTCCAAAAGTGCATTCAGCTGGTGTAGCAGTTTCTGAGCTTCAGTTGTTGTCAGTACCTCTATCATCTATATATAGAACAAAACCCAGAAAAGATGTTAAGAATAACCCTTCCTGCTTTCCTTGGCCAGCTCTGTATTGTGCCAAGAATACTACAGAACTCTCCCCTCTCCCTATACTGCTAATGAACCCAGTGCTGGCTATTAACGTTTTCACTTTTTCGCATTTGTTGTCGTGTGGATGTAAGTTTACAGAGCAAATTTAAGTCTTTCATTCAGCAACTGATAAACATTTTGTTTAGTGACACTAGTTGCAATTCTCTCAATTTATTCTACCAGTCTCGTTAGTGACCATAATTCATGAATTTCTATAGGAAATGAATGTTTTTTAGATTGCCACGAAATATTTATTCAAGACATCAATGAAAATAAATTGGAACAGAATGTTATAAGGCAGGATATCAAGAACTCTGAAACAGATCGTCATATGTACTCTGCCATATCATTGGAAATACAAAGTTTTCACTGGGTTTCTTAGGATCAACAACATATCTCATCTGTCTCTTGGAGCAGCTAGAGGATTTGAACCAGCAACCTTTCTTTTTGCAATCCAATAAAGAATGCACCATGCCACTAGGTACTTAGCAGATAGCTGGCCATAAAAATGAGCTTAATTTTATATCTGTGAAATGAAGGTAACAAATACGTTTCTAAATGGCTGCGAACGATTCATAGAGTTTGGCACAATCCTCGGGACAAAGTGAAGGCCGTAATTGCTAACTTTTATTGATTCTAGGAAAGGAAGCTTGACGGATGCCATGGCAACATATGGGGGGGGCAGGTGCTAATCTAGTCTGCAGGATAAACCTAGGGATTTAAGATAGTGCATCCGTGTGTGCTGGGCACAAGCTAACTGCTGAGTACGCGTGGGCGACCCTCCTCCTTCCTAACTGAAAGACAGGACGGCAAACAGGACGGGGACAGGTGAAGAACCAGCATAAAGCCAGCATAAAGTTACACAGAAAACTCTTTTGCTCCCAAGCCAGTCCCGGGGAAGGGGCGGGCACTGACACCTCCTCAGTGAGGACGGAAGCGGCCCCGCCCCTTCAGGCTCAGACTAGTCTGGGCTTGTGCTCATGCCAGCCAGAGAGTGAGTAGAGGTAAAGGGCTCGGACTAAGCCTAACTCCTCACTCTCCGCCCCAGTCCTCCTCCTTTCCCGCATCCCAACGTCAACCCCGCGCCCCGACCTTACCGTGATCGCGACTGCGACTCCTCAGCGGTAACTACCCTCCCCGGGCCTGCTCGCACCTCACCCCACGATATCAGGTCCGAGATGCCTACGAGGCGAGGGGACTCGCGGGCAGGAGGGGAGCAGCCCGGGGAGGGGAGCCGTTTTGGACCGAGGTTACCTCAGCACCACTGAAAAAAAGATAATATCCTCAGCCAAGGCCAGCTCTGAGCAGACGGAGGCTCCGCTCGAGCTGGGTAATAAACTGAGAGGGCAGGACGTTCTCACGTGTGGTGCACATTTTGCTGCTGATTGGTCTAGCCCTTTTGATGGATGGTCTCCTCTGTCCAAAGAAGGTTGTCCGAACAGAGTAGGAAACCCAGCCAATCAGCATATTCTTTCCATTTTCCGGGCTTCAATTCTCCACCCCCTTAAAGCCACACCCTCTCTCCCTCTAAGTGTTTCTCATTGGAGAATTTTCCAAAGTGTCTCCATTCAAGAGGAGGCGGAACAAAATACTATTATGCGTATCCCAGTTCTAGCCAGGGTCAGGAATTGGCCGCAAACAATATTGGCGAGGATTTCATTCCAGAATGTACTGGGAGGTTTTGTTCATTATATTATAGTAGCTCTCTATACAGTAGCTTTGACTCCTCTTTCTAAAAAGAGAGACTCGAACTGGTGGGGAGGGGTGGGCAGGGAGAAAAGTGCGGCAATGAATAAATGGAAATCCAAAACCTTTGTAAATGTCTATTAAAATTAATTTAAAAAAAGTAGAGACACAAGGAGAAAAAGAAAGTAATTTTGCTTTCTCGTTACAAATGCAGATTTAAGGTGTGTATGTGTGTGATTTGTTAAACCCTAAAGATTTCTGTAAGTGAACTTAGGAAAACAATTTGTCCTTCCTTAGTTATATTTTTCCATAGAATAAGAGATTTGGACAATAATGACGACAGAAGCTTTTGAGCTGTGTCGTGTTGGAGAAGAGTGCATATATCTACCCCATCGACAGCCAAAAGAACAAGGCTATTCCTTGGAGAGAGACATCATTCTTGACAAGAATGACTGAGAAAGATGGGTTGATACAGTGATGGCCAGTAATAGGCTCGAGTATGCCAGAAATTATTAGGATGGAACAGGAAATGACATGTTTGAGATCTGTTGTTCATAGGGTCCCTAAGAGTTGTACTGGACAGACCCTAACAACAATAACTTAATATATTGGACCTCTTTAAATTTTCTTAATTTAACTTTAAGCAAGGTTAAATAGAAACTTTCCTTTCGTGTAAAAGTAACCTCAGATCTTTAGTATTCTTTCACCATGATTGCCAAGCAACATAGATCTACAAGTGAAAAGGTCTGAGGAGGAGGCCTGTAATGAGTCAGATAACTTAAGGTTGTAGTTTAATGTCTTTCCTCATTGTCTCTTAATCTTTAAGTGGCTCTCTGAACTTTGAAAGATCTGTGCTGTCAACTCAAAAGTTTGAATCTACCAGCTGCTTTGCCTGAGAAAGACAGCCCCTGAAAATTCACTGCAAGATCAGCTTTGAGTTGCTTTCAACACAACACTTGACAACAAAATTTCTTTTAGAGAGTTCTGGTAGCTAAGTTGTGCTGCTAAACCAAAAGATGGGTCTCTCTGGCAGTTTGAATATGAGTTACAAGGGCAATCCCTTCCCTCACAATTGTTTGGAAACCGGCTGGAATGTCATCTGTGAATCATTCTGACTCAATGTCAATGACCTTGACTTTTGACTACTTGTCTTGAGGCAACATCACAGTACTTAGCCCCAAAATCTGTGGTAGAAAACCAGGGAGAAAAAAAAGAAATAAAGTTAATACCCTAGTAGCATTATCACTGGAGTCTGAGATACTCAAATGGGGAGGAAACCTTGGTAACTTTTGAGAAGTTTATATCGTGAATATAAACTGCCACTGTCAAACATTTTAAAAATAATTTCATTTTAAAAAATCTTGCATTAATGCAGAGATTTAGAAAAGTACATACTCCTTTTATTAACAAAATTAAGAATAGCTATTCACACAAGCACACACACACACACACTTAGGTGTGACTTGTTATGTTGTTGTTGTGTCATGACTCATAGGGATCCTATAAACAGATCTGAACCCTGTTCTATCCTACACTATCTTCATAATCTTCCCCCCCTTTGTTCCCCTATCACCAACCCCAGTCACCTTCATAATCTTTTATAAATTTGAGTAATGCTTTAGTCATCATGTCAATACATCTCATGGAGGGTCTTCCCCTCCTTTACTGAGCCTGCACATCTCCAAGTATGGTGTCCTAAGAATAGCCACTCCTAACAACATATTCAAAGTATGTGAGATAAGCCTTCAACAGCCTTCCCTCTAAGGAGCACTCTGGCTGCACTTTTCCCAAGACAATATATTTGTTCTTTTTACAGTCCATTCAGTGCTATTCTCTACCACTCAAAGGCATAGATTCTTCTGTTATCCATTTCATTGTGCAACTCTCAAATGCATAGCAGGTGATTAGAAAGACTATGGCTTGGATTTAGGCCATTTCTTTAAACTGACATCATTGCTCTTCAGTATTTAGGAGATGGTGGGTTTCCATTCATTCATTATTGCACTATTTTCTCTACCCTCCCCCCGCCGCAGTTTGTTCCTCTTTTTTGCCCCCCTTGAAAGTCTGTTTTAATTTTCCCATGCCACAGTGCTTGTCAAAGCTAGTTCTGATTAATCTCCTTTGTCAGTGTGTCCTTTGCCATTCCCTGTCACTCCTCCCTGAGAGAGACTTCACCCTGACTCATAAGGAAAAGGGGA